TGTCATCTTCTCATACTTTTCATCCACTCCCTAGTCATATTTTTCCTGCCTCAGTGCCTTTGCATTTGCTATTTCTTACACGTTGAAAACTCCTACATCTGTTCTCTTTGCCTGGCTGGCTGCGTATCTCCTCCCCATCATTCAGGTCTCAGCTCAAATGTCATTCACTCAAGGAGGCTTTCCCTGACCACTATCTAAGGCATCTGTCCCTTTTCCTACTGCCACTTCAGTTACTCTCCTTGCATTTCCTTCACTGCACTAATCACAGTTTTTAATTGTCCTGCTTCCTCAGTAGAATGGAAGCTTCATGAGAGCAGAGACCTTGTCTCACTTTTAATGTCATGTCTTTAGCAAACAGAGCACTGCTTGACATGTGGTAAGTCCTCAGTAAGTATTTGTTGAATGCACACATAAGCCTTGAAGATAGACTTTTCATTTTACCAAGTCCTGTTTTGGTTTGCAACTCAAAGTTTTGTTGTTGTTTTTTAATGGACAACAGCTGATGTAGTTCCATGAGGGTTCAAATCAGGTAGCAGCCTCTGAGGGTTTCTGAAGGTAGCAGGAAAAATGGAGACTGTGATAGCCAGGATTCACTTCCATCTGAATGCAGGCTTTCCAAGGTGTTCCCAGGATCCAGGCCACTATTTTACTACTGCTGTCAGCATCTACTTCCAGGGTTGTTACTGCTGGCCAATTCTAATCTTTAAACTCTCATTACATTTTTAAAAGTGAGCAAAATTAGAATCCAACCAATCCTCAAGCAACCAAAAGTTTTCTTCTGGTTTCCTTCTCTAGAAGAAAAATAAGAAAGCTACCTAGAATCCTCAAGGAAACATGAAATGATGTTCATTATATTTACTACATGCCTATTGATTTGAAAGATTTTTAGCAATAGCCTTAAACAAGGTGTTTCTTGGGAGCTTGGGTGGCTTAGTTGGCTGAGTGTCTGACTCTTGATTTGGCTCAGGTCATGATCTCACAGTTGTGAGATTGAGCCTCCTGTCGGGCTCCACAATAAACTTGCAGCCTGCTTAAGATTCTCTCTCACTCTGCTCCTCCCCTATGTGTGTTTGTGCTCTCTCTCTCTCTCTCTCTCTCTCTCAAAAACAAAACAAAACAAAAAAATAAACAAGATGTTTCTTGTTAACATCTCTTTGAACCAGTCTAACTCATCAGTTATAATTTCTTCCAATTTCTCTTCATTGGGTAGACTTATTCTTTAATTCCATTTTTTCTTGAAACTGGCTTGAAACTTTATTAGAAATTACAATAGTTTTTATAGCAACTTATAGTTTTCAAAGTACTCTGGGGTTTTTTTTTTCCTCATTTAATGCTTACAACCATCCCTTGTGAATATGTTCTTGAGATGTAGAAACTGAGACCCACTGATTCATTTTCCCATGTCACCCAAAAGCCCACTACTCAATTAAATGCCTCTCAATAACTTTTTAAAACAGCACCATAATTTGATATAATTTTTAGAAGGTAAACATGAAAATGTAGTTGAAACATTAACGTTCTACATTTGTAACCGGTCCCTAAGAAATAAGATGCATAAGTTAGTTGAGATAAGTACAAAATTTTGTCACTTCTGTGGCTCTATGGTTTGGTAATTCTTTGTTTGATCAGCCTCAGCTATGCTTGTCCTTGATTAAAGTATTGTTCTGGGTGAGCTGCTCAGATTTTTACAGAAAGGAAAGATTAGAGAACTTACCTAGAGAAGAGTCACTTTTCAGTAAGCCTGTTCTAATTCTCCTCTTGCTTGAAGGAATTGGTTCAATTGATCTGAACTGGCCTTTCAGATTGAGCAGGTCCTGAAAAAAACACATCATCTAAAATTTCAGATAAGAAGAATGGAAGCCAGGTCCTTCCTGGAAATGGCCAGGAGTGAAACTAAGAAGCCCTGTATTTGGAGAGAACTCAATTAATTATTAAGGACAAAGGACTGGTATAAGGAGGTTATATCCTTAATGGAAGCAGCCTTCTTAAAATAAGTGTACATGATTCTTCTGCTTTGACATTGTAAAGAAGGTTCTTTAATTAGCCACTTTGTCTTAATTAAGCATGTGATTGGCAAGACCTGTGAGCATGTAGTTTATAGACATTCAATTATGTAGGTGGGCCTTTGTTTTGATATGTGGCAACTGAGAACTAGCATAATGCTGTTTTTTATTCATATGACAGATGTTTATTGAGTCCCTACACTGTACCAGGCACTGATATTTGATGCACCTGATGTTAAAGTATGGAATGGTACAAAGGTTAAAGGAGAAATAGGCTATTCAGAGTAAATCTATGCTTTCTATAATGGTCTCTGTTGACTATAAATTTCCACATTATTTTTCCAATTAACTGTGCCTTTTTCTACTTTTCGCTTTAAATTTGAAGTTACTGACATAATTATCTGCTTTTCTATGTACTGATAGAGGTTTTCCTTACTATGTGCGAAAAATACTGAAAAAAGACTCAATCCAATGGATTATGTTTGTCCTTACAATGTGTTAATTATCAACTGGGCACAGGGAGGAGGAAGAAGAACCAAGCAGAGAAAAATTACAAATTAGATTTGAGAGAGAAGTCGAATCAAACTTGGAGTAGATTGGGTAATTTTTAATTTAAAGAAGAAAAAAAAAGATTAGAAAGAATCTTGGGTGGTTCTTTGTGACCTAAAAATTTTAGACCAAAGTTCGTTTTTAAAGGCTGTAACTACAGGTTACTCTTTTACTAAAATGAGATATGTGAATGCTACCGCAATTATGTAAAAAGCTAATTTGGGTTTCAAAAGTGCAAGAAGATAAGATATTCAAATTAATGAATAAAGTGATAGAAGCTGTGTAGGATGGTGATAATTATATCATCTTCCAGTTAGAGTTTTTACAGAGGTGTTAAGAACACCTAAAAATTGGCCCTTAAACAGTATAATTTGAGAGAGATTTAGACTTTTGGGTGCAGAGAAACAGTGTCAGGGTTTTAAGCAGATCTGATGTTCCTGGTAGGTACTGCCAGGTTCTCAGAGATGACATTCAAGGTGCTCTTTTTTCCTTGCTGATATAACGAAAATAAGTTGACCCTAAAATATAGTGTGCACTAGAATGGCAATTGTAGTTTATTCTCTCTGCAAGAGGTCATTTTATTTTCATCCCAGCCTCCTAAAAAATGAATAAGTTAACATTTATTTGGCCTTTCTGGGCCTCAGTTTCTTCGTCTGTAGAGTGGGACGGCAATATTCCGAGTTTGCTACCGTGAGGATTAATAAGTTTATATATGCAAAACAAAACAGGATCTGACACGTGGTAAACATTCAATAGACATTAGCTATTTTTCTTACCAGCACCACTGTTACTTTATAAGCACTTATTTTAGCACTGAGCTAAAGGAACATTTTAGAGATGATGAGACTGAGGCTTAGAGTAATTTTCCTAGTGTTACCCCATAAGCAAGTAGTAGATTCAAGATGTAGACCTAGGCTGAAAGAAACTGGAGACAGAATCGGCTTAGATATGGAACAGACTGGGGCATTTGGCCCAACCCTGACCCATCCCTTCTAGTTTCAAGACACTTAGGATAAGACTGGCCCAGACCACCCCCCAGAGACCCGGAAAAAACTTGTGTTTTGCAGTAAGTAGTTAGAACATGGACATTAGTGTCTGTCGGACTGTCCCAAATCGTGGCTCTGCCACTTACTAGCTATGTAATCTTTGGCAGGTTATTTAACCTTTCTGAGCCTCAGTTTCTTTCTCTGTAAGATGAGAATAATAGTATTTGTTTCGGGGCACCTGGGTAGCTCAGTTGGTTAAGTGTCCAACTCTTGATTTCAGCTCAGGTCATGATCTCATGGTTGTGAGCTTGAGCCCTGAGTCGGGCTCTGAGGTGGCAGCATCGAGCCTACTTGGGATTCTGCTCCTGCCCTGCTTGCTGTCTCTCTCAAGATAAAATAAAATAAATAAACTTAAATAAAAATTTGTTTCATGATATTATAGGGACTACGGGAGTAAAACCAAATGGAATGAATCACCCTGCATATGACCAGTACTCAATAACCTGGCCCCAGGCTTATGCTAAGGTGGCCCAGATTTTTTTTTTTATCTGATTCTGACACAGTCCATCTAGATGGTTGGTGATTAGGGCCTGTGTCTGCCTCCCTGCTGAGGCCTAAGAACCCTGGGATCAAACCAAGTCTAAACACCCAACGCTGTTTTTACATTGGAATCATAGGGGACTCTTAAGAAAAATTAGAAGTGTTTAGACTTTACATGAGAGATTCAGATTCCAAAGATGATCCTGATATTCAAAGCACCCTCCCCAACCCCTGCCTCACCTCCCCACCCTTGACCCCTGCACAACTAAGAAGTGTTAGGTTGGCTAGTTGAGGGTAGCAGCTGAAGCACAATCCCAAACAGTGATCTTAATGCTTGGATTGTCGGTGTCAGTGGGAATATTAATGAGTAGTCAAGGGGTGGGTGCCCTACAAAAGGGAACTCTACAGAAACGATCTCATCTGTGTAGTCAAACAACGTTTCTGTTTGGAAAGAATATTAATGAGATCTGGATAGGAATCAGACACCGGGAAAGGACAGCTGCTGTGAGAGGCAATTTGAATTGTACAAGGAGTTACACATGATATTACTAAAGTCCTTGTGCCATTTTAAAAAGTAATTAAGTTGTAAAGATAATCAACAATTTATAAACAATGTTTTAAAAACAACTGTAGTTTCAAAAAATAAATGTATTGAGGGGCCAGCACATATTTGAAAATATGTTCAACTTTCCCCATGAGTAAAGGAATGAAAAGTAAAACAATAATATACCATTTTTCATACATCTAGCAGATTGGAAAATATAAAAAGGATTAGCAATGCTCAATATTCACAAGGATGTGGAGAATAGTCTTTCTCATATAGCTGATGGTTCAAATATAAACGGATGCAAAAATATATACAAATTGATGCAACTTTTTTGGAGAAAAACTTGGGAATGTGTATTAAAATTTTGATGCATAGGCCTTTTACTAGAAATGCTGCTTCCAAGAATTTATGCCATGGATGCATACTTCCAAGTAGGCAATGATAGAAACATTTTCATTGCTGTCTTGTTCTTAATAATGAAGAACCTACAGCAACCTCTATGTTCATTGACAGGGGCCTGGTTAAATAAGTTATAGACTATTGCAGAGTGAAATAGTATTTGGTACTGAAAGGGTGAAGTAGATCTCTATGTCCTCCTCCATCTATATGTCCTTTCCTATATGTCTTCCTGTCATGTGTGAGATGATGTCCAAGAGGAAACAAATAGTTGCTGAATAGCATATTAACATAAAGTCATTGTAATTGTTAAAAAAAAAAAAAAGTATGTTCATGTACACTGGTGTTAACCTCACTGTGCCTCAGTTTCCTCATTTGTAAAATAGGTATCACTATAATGTCCACCTCATGAGTTGTTGTGAGGATAAAATGAGATAATATTTGTGGAATGCTTAGGACAGTGACTGACATATTATGCTGGGTGTTTGCTATTATTATCATGCATGGGCAATATCAGAAGGTTTATGCTCCAAAGCGTGACAGAGGTTACCTTTGGCAAGTAGAGTTGTCTTGGGGGAAGGGGTGTGCAAGAGCAGGCAGAGACTTCGATTTCTTATATTGTATGTGTCTACATAATTGTTTATGACAAGCAGGCCCATCGCGTGACCAATCACTATGACAAAGAAGCGAGGCAAAGAAGAAAATGGCGGCTCCAGTTTGGAGTGCTTGTTGAAACCTGTGGAGTGAGAGGTTCCCCGAAGGAAAGGAGGAGGGTGAAAGACGGTGGTGATGTGGGGATACAAAAAGGATGCTCATTGATTCCACCTTGGCTGCTGAAGCTCTTTTGGAAACCACTAACCTAATTAAAGATCAAAAAATTTTAAATTGCATAAGAACCTTATGAAGGCCTAACATTTATATCTGGACTTTTCCTTTTGCAATTTAGTTTTACATTTATACTAAAGAAGTGATTCATGTTTCATTTGACTTTTGGACAAAAAGCTACAAAAAAGTAATTGCTCACATGTCCAAAACATTTAGGAAGAGGTAGTTCTTCGAATAATTATAAAATAAAAATTTTGATCTTTTAAAGGCACCACTAATGTCTTTTCAACTAGCATTACTACCTCCATTATATAATATTATAGAGTAATTTTTGCACTAAAAAAAAGTCAAACAGCTGAAGAATATGCTACATTTATGAATTATTTTCATCAGAGCCTTATGACATAGGCCTTGTTAAGACAGTATGACATATAAACTAAGCTAAGCCAAAATATGTAATCTGTTAACTAAACCTTTAGAATAATGTTTATTCAATGTGTTTAGACACAGAGGCATACGACAGTACTAACAAGATTTGGCTGTGACCTCAAGCAATGTGCCAGGCACTGTTTTTCATTTATTATCTCCTTTTATTTTTAGCACAACCCTGTATCTTAGGGTTATCATCTTCATTTTATACAGAAGGAAAGTGTAGGACAGAGTGGTTGCCATGCATCTGGTTAGCACTGGAATCAGGATTGGAATCAGCTGGTGTTTCCATGGTACTGCTCTGCCCCCAAATAACCAAGACGTGAGGATAGGTGATGTGAGCCCCATGTTGAGGGCACACTGAGAATTCTCAGGGACCTCAGTGATCAGCTATCATCCAGTCTAGTGGCTTTAAAACTATAATTTTTTTAAGTTTATTTATTTTGAGAGAGAGATAGAAAGAGCTTGCACAAGCAGGGGAGGGGCAGAGAGAGAGGGAGAGAGAGAGAGAATCACAAGCAGGCTTCACACTGTCTGCACAGAGCCTGACGCGGGGCTTGAACTCA